TTCCTTCCGAGGAGTGGCTGATGGGTTTGAACCGCCAGCCTTCTGGTTAGCAGTCAAGTGCCTTAGCCACTATGCTACCAGAGCTCCCTCACCCTAGGTATCCTCAAATGCCCTGAATTGTGTTGTTGGAAGGGCCAAGACCTGGAAGACAGAGATGGAGTTTTAGTCCTATGTCTTCTAGGTATATTGTATTGCTGATAACAATGATTTGTAGTAACAGTAATATTGTTTCTTATTATTGGGCATTTGTTACATGCCAGGTACTGTGCAAACCTGCAATTCTCCTAGTAACCCTGCAGATTTAAATGTCATTTCATTTGATTAATTTTGAAACTGGTGTAGAGAGTAGGACAACCTTTCAAGGTCACACACCTAGGAAGTGAAGAGCCTATCTGTCTCCAAAGCACATGGGCAAATCACTTCTGTGAACCACAGTTTCCTCTTTGTAAAAAGGATGGCTTCAGCAAGCAGAATTATGGGCATGAGACCTCTCTATAACTTGAAACAAAATGCAAGTATAAGGTGGTTTATTTTGAAAGCAGTGCTAGTAACCTGTTTTGGTACAACAGCGTATTGCTCCATTACTCGGGTTTATACAAAACGAGGCAAACCCTCAGTGAGATGGATTGACACAGTAGTCACAATGGACTCAAACATACTAACGATCAGGAAGATGACATAGGACTGGGACAACCTTTTGTTCTGTTCTGCACAGGGTCTCCATGAATGGGAGCTGACTAACAGCAACAATACGCATACCTTTGTTGAAAAAGAATGCAGTAGCATTGCATTGAGAAGCAGATGATCTGGGTTTGGAACCTGACTTGTGAGATTAGCTCTGAGACCTGGCATGTTCATCTTTTGGACTTTATTTCGTAAGAGAGGGTTGAACTAGAGATGATTACAAGATCTCTTTCAGGTTTAACATTCTGCTTCATGGAAATTATGAGTTTTATTTGGTTCTATAATTATATATACCATGGTTAGTTATTTAAATAATGCACATACAGATGTACACAGCTCTATGCTTAGGTACACACACTCAGATGTTTACATGATGTTTACATGAAGTTACCAGTTTTGTGTATCCTAGGGTGGAGCTCTGGTAGTGTAGTGTCTAAGGCACTTGACTGCTAGCCAGAAGGCTGGCGGTTCAAACCCACCAGCCACTCCTCGGAAGGAAGGTTGGGCAATCTACTCCCATAGTGATATTGCCTCAGAAACCCATGGAGGGGTCGCTATGAGTTGGGTCCAACTCACCGGCACATAACAACAACAGCAAGGTGAATATCACCCTGTTTGGCCCTTTTAAAGCTTGAAAACTTAAAAAAGCCTCTGGGAGAAAATTCAGAATTACGTTAAAGGAAGGTTTGTAGAAGATTATTTCAAAGGCCTCAAAAACCACCAACCCACTACTATTGAGTAGATTCAGACTCATTACACCCCGCATTGTGTTTTTGAGGCGGTAAGTCTTTACAGAAGTAGATTGCCCATTCTTGTTTCCATGGAGTGGCTGGTGGGTTTGAACCACCAGCCTTCTGGTTAGCAGTCAGATACCTTAGGCACAGTCCTATCAGGACTCTTTTTTGTATGATTGGAGATCTTCCCAGCAATGAGAAAGGATTTGTTAAGCTTGTTAAGGGTTAACTGGAATGGTTCTGGTCTGTTGGCAAAAGAGAAGTCCCAGCAAAGCCATGTAGCCGTATAGTCTCTTGGAGACCAGAGAGCAAGGTAGATCTTCCAATGTCTGGTCTGTAGTCCTAATGATCATTTTGAGGTTGGGAACCATTTTTAGTTCTTGAGTGCTTCTGAGTATAATTACAGACAAGCCATTTTTGAATGGATAGAAATGGATGCCATCATGTTTAGCTCATGAAAGTATAAATTGATAGCTGTTTTAGAAAACAGTATGGAACTTTCAAAAACAATTCACTAGGGAGGTTAATGGTCATAAAAGGAGGGGTTGTTGGGTAGTTTTTCTTTTTAACTTTGTAATCTTCAAACTTTTCTTTGAGTATATATTACCTAAAGTGTGTATATGGGGGGCGGGGGAAGCAACCTCTGGTGGACTAAATAATGTTGTTGTTAGGTGCTGTCGAGTCCTCTCCAATTCAGCGACCCTAGGTACAACAGAACGAAACTCTGCCTGGTCCTGTGTCAGCCTCACAATCCTTGCCCATCATTTGCTGCCACGGTGCCAGTCCACCTTGTTGAGGGCCTTCCCCTTTTTTGCTCACCCTCCACTTTACTAAGCATGATATCATTCTCCAGGGAATGGTCCCTTCTGACTACATGACCAAAGTAGGTGAGACGAAGTCTGGCCATTCTTGCTTCCAAGGAGTGTTCTGGCTTCACTTCTTCCAGGGAAGATTTGTTAGTCTTTCTGGTAGTCCATGATAATTTTCAGCATTCTTTGCCAACATCACGACTCAAAAGCATCAACTCTTCTTCAGTCTTCTTTATTCATTTGTCCAGCTTTCACATGCATATAAGGCGATTGAAGATATGATGGCTAGGTGTTCATATCATCACCAATTAATGTTATCAGTTTTAATAACAGTTGGCAGTATATGTTAGGCCCTGTATGTTTTGGTTACCTAGTGCCACTCTGATAGAAATATACCACAAATGGGATGGCTTTAGCAAATAGGAGTTTATTCTCTTACAATTTGGAGGCTTTAAGTCTGAGTTCAAAGAGCCAGGCTCTAGGGACTAAGTGAAAGCCCCTCAACCTTGGGCTTCAGCTCTGCCTCTTGCTCCTGGCCCACTAGAGCTAGAGGCTTTTCTTCACTCAGGCAGCTGCTGGCTGCTAAGACGGAAAAACCCAAGGTTGACAAGTAGAAAGGCACAGTCTGGATGTTACCAAATCACATGGCAGGCCATTAATTCAAGTCCATCAAAAGTCCCAAGGTCGGCAGAGCATGGCAGGCTGCTGAACAATGACATGGTTACATGCAGGGTTCAAGCATGCCATAAGCTGGATACCATCCTCAAAGCTGTTTCTTATATACAGGAAGCAGACCATATCCATAAGGCAGCTATTTAGCTGCTCACAGTAGATTCCACCATGGAGTTGATTACCAATCTCATCATGGGGAAAACTACATCCAGCTGCCCAGCCACTCAACCAGGCCCAACCAAGTTGCTTTACATACATTATGTCATTGTTATCTTTAAAACACCCCAATGACATGTAGATATCATCAATCCCATCTTTAGCATTGGGAAACTTGAGATTTATAGGCTCAAGAACTTGCCTAAGGAGGCAAAGGTTGTATCAGTAAGCTAACATGAGAACTCAGGTCTGTTTGAGCCCAGGAAGCTCTTCATTAACTACTAAGCCATTTGAGATGTGATGATGCTTCAAGCAGAACTAGATTTAAACAAGCAGCCCTGTAGCTCTGCAGACTACTGAGATTTCCTACTAGAACCATATTGGTTCCCTTAAGACATGGATTGGAGGCCTTGGCCTCGCATACTGCTTTCATTCTGCCATCTGTTGGCCATGTCCTTTGTCTGGCCAGAGGTGGCTCAGTTTGAGTTTATATTGTATGAATAAACTAAAACTGCAGCCAAACACGTAATAGTTTTTTTTTTTTCCTCCACCCAGCACTGTTTTAAATAAAGCATTACAGTGACTACTAAACTTTTTATTTTTCTGGTGTCATAGTGCCTAAGGCATTTGACTGCTAACCAGAAGGCTGGCAGTTCAAACCCACCAGCCACTCTGCGGAAGGAAGATTGAGCAATCTACTTTCGTAAAGATTCACCACCTTGGAAACGCAAAAGGAGGTCTTTATGAGTCAGAATCAACTCGATGGCAGTGAGTTTGGTTGGTTTTTTTTTTTTGGAAGAGGGAATGGAAACACTTTATAATGAAACATTTTTGGACTCTGAGAGTATGACAAAACTCCTTTTTACTAGTTGCTGCAGGGTCATTTGAGATCACAAATGTGTGTGTTTTGTTTTTAATGGTAAAACGTTAATGCTGCTGATCTGGAAAGTAACAGTGATTGAAATTCTTAGCATAAGGTTGAATTTAGATCATACTTGTGTAATAGAAACAGCATTTGATGAGTGCTGTTGTATATCAAGGAGCTCTGGTGGTGTTGCAGTGCCTAAGGTTTTTGACTGCTAACCAGAAGGCTGGTGGTTCAAACCCACCAGCCACTCCTTGGAAGGACGATTGGGCAATCTACTTCCATAGTGATACTGCCTCGGAAACCCAAGAAGAGGTTGCTATGGGTCGGATCTGACTTGACAGCTGTGAGTTTGGTTTGGTTTTGGTTGGTTGTATATTAGTCCGAGGGAGTTGTATATTAGCAATATCAAACCACCTTGTTTGGCAAGGAGGAGAGGAGATTATTTAGTTTAATTTTTAGTAACCCTCTTACTTGCCAGTACTTCCATAGGTATTGGTTCATTTATTTCTCGTAACAATGCAATGAGGCAGTGTTGGTATTCCCATTTTATGATGGTAAGAGATGACTTCCCCAAGCTCAAAAAGCAAAAAGGAGTCAGACCTGAGCTTGCTTCCACTGCTTCCAAGTTAGACACTTGGTATCTTAACAATACCCTGTGTTCCACTAGGGTTCCCCTACCAAATTCTGGGAGCCCATGGCTTCCTCAGGGACACTTAGGATTTGAAATTGACAGGTGCCATGATTATTCTGAGAACTTTATTTCATTGCATTAATGCTCTTTAGGGCATATTTGGTTCCTCTCTTTCTCACTGATTCATCATCCCCCATCCAATCTATCACCAATTTGTAAGGCTCAAATTCAAAATTATGTTCATGTATTCCTGCCATCTCTGTAGCTGTTATCCTAGTCTAATCTTTGACGCCTCTTAACTGGACTTCCAGTTTCCATTCTAGCCCCTCTATGATCCGTTCTTCACACAGTAGCCTCATTGTGAAGCTTTGAAAATGTAAATTAGATCATATCCCTCTCCTACTTTATTCAAACCTTTGCAGTTGCATCCTATTGCCTTGCTGTGACCTGCTGGGATCCAGCATGTCTACCTGCCGAATGTCTCATAGCCCTCTGAGCTCTGTGCTCTCTAGTCATTGTCCTTGGTTCCTAATGGACCAGGCTTGTTTCTGTGTTTGGACCTTTGTTCCTGCTCATCCTTCTGCTGAAATTCTTCCCCCAATGTTTGCTTGGCTGCCTTTTCCTCATTCAGTTCTCAGTTAAGCTATCAACTCCTTAGAGAGGGCTTTCCTGATACTGTCCCACCCACCCCGTCACACTTTCCTTTATTGCACTCATCATAATGTGTAATTATCTCTAATTATCTGTTTCCTATGATCTGTCTTACACAGCTTCAGGACAACAAGGACCTTGCTTCTGGATCTTAATTGTATCTCCAAGGCCTGAAACAGTATCTGGTACCCAGTAATTGTTGAACTGGAACCAATGTGGTGTTGTTGTTATGTGCTGTTAAGTCAGACATAGCAACCCCTCCTTGGGTTGCTGAGGTGGTTATCACTATGGAAGTAGATTGCCCAACCTTCCTTCTGAGGAGTGGCTGGTGGGTTTGAACCGCCAGCCGTCTGGTTAGCAGGCAAGTGTCTTAGCCACTATGCTACCAGAGCTCCCATTCTATGTTTTAGAAGGAGTTAAATTTTAGGAGGGGTCGCTATGAGTCGGGTCTGACTTGACAGCACATAACAACAACAACAACAACAAGCTAAGGGTAGACCTGGGTGTATGCAGACATTGATGAAATATTCTTTTTATGTATGATTTTAGAAATTCTTTAATATGTGTTGATATGCTCTGATTGATTAAATGTTTTCACTCTACGTATGAAATCACTGAAAGTATTTCAAGAAATACATAGTTTTGTTTGTTTTTGAATACCTCATTTAATGACTGGCAAAAGCTTTGAAAGGCTTCTCAAAACTAACACAATTTGATAAAATTACCTTTATTCACCAGTAGGTGGCATTCTTGATCATGATTACCATTGATAACAAAATAAGATTTTAGAATGTTAAAAGACCTTTTAAAAATTAACATTTCTTTGTTTCCTACTTCAGTGGAGACATAGACCATTCAAACAGCATTATCACTAAGTGATATATCCTATTGGGAAGACAATTTATTTTAGCAATAGTTTTTAAAACATTAAGCAGTGTAATATTTCTGTATTTAACTGTGCTGTTGTTAGCTGTTGTTGAGTTGGCCCCTGACTCATGGCAACCCCATACACAACGGAATGAAAGACTGCCCTTTCCTGCACCATCATCATGTTCAGCTGCTGATCAGACCATGTCTTTTTTTTTTTTTTAATTGTAATTTGGGTGAAAGTTTTACAGAGCAAATTCATTTTCCATACAGCAGTTCACATGCATTTTGTTTCACGATGTTGACTGTAATTCCCCACAGTGTAACAGTTGTCTTCCCACTTCCTCCCTGTAGCTAGCACTTCCTTGTGTACTTCTCTCCCATACATTCCTGGCCCCTCTCCACTCCCATCTCCCTGTGCAAATACTGCCCTTTCGTTCTCCCAGGATTGAACCCTCCAAAGAGTGTATCTATCTGATGTAAATGTTCACCCTATATGCCTGTCTGTTGTTTGACTGGAAGCCACAGGAGTGAGTTCAGTTCCAGACTTGAAGGGTAACTAAGGGCCATAGTCTCAGGGGTCTCACCAGGTGCTATCAGGCCAGCAAATCTGGTCTTTCTTTTTTTTTCATGATTTTGAGTTTTGTTCCACATTGTTTTCCCACTCTATCCATGGACCATGTCTTCCATAGCGTTTTCATTGGCTGATTTTCAGAAGTAGATCATCAGGCCTTTCTTCCTAGTGTTAGTCTGCAAACTTCACTATGTTTAGCATCATAGCAATACCCAGGTAGCGGCCACTGATAGACAAGTGGCTGTACATGAGGTGTACTGGCTGGGAAAGGAACCCAGGTCTCCTGCATAGAAGGGAAGAAGTCTACCACTGAACTAGCACTCCCCCATATTTAACTGTGTTGTTTTTAGTTGCTGTCGAGTTGATTCTGACTCATAGCGACCCCATGTGTGTAGAGTGGAACTGTTCCATAGAGTCTTCAAGGCTGTGACCATTCAGAAGCAGATTGCCAGGTCTGTCTCCTGAGCCACCTCTGGGTGAGTTGAACTGCCAACCTTTTGGCTGGTAGTCAAACACTTAACTGTTTGTGCCACCCAGTAACTTTTATTTAACTACATACTTGTTGGGTGCTGTTGAGTCAAGATTCCAATTCATAGTGACCCTATAGTACAGAGTAGAACTGCCCCATAGGGTTTCCTAAGCTGTAATCTTTATAGGAGCAGATTGCCAGGTCTTTTCTCCTCTAGAGCTGCTGGTAGATTTGAACCCTTCACGTTTCGTCTATCAGTTGAATGCTTAACTGTTGCACCGCAATGGTTCCTTTATTAACTATATAATAGTTAAATTTTATCAGGGCACTTAGCCATGAATGACATATAACTGTATTAATTCAGACATTGTTCTGGTGTTTTCACAGGATAAATATCCTAAGTAGCAGAGTTAAAGCAGGCCTAGGAAGATTTAAAAAAAAAAACGGGGGGGGAACAGTAACAGAACAGAAACAATCAAAAAAGAAAAGTGGGAACAGGAGAAAGGATTGATGAAATGGGTAACTGAAAGTAGGTTTACTGTGAGGTGGTATCTGCTGATAATAATGAGCCTTTCCTTTCACAGCTAAGTGGTAGAGGTAGTAGTCCCTTTTATCGTTGTCCCAAAACATTGTTCTTACATGTTGTCTCTGCCATTGCAGGAACTTTGTGAGAATCTCAGTATATGGAAAAACTATCCATGTTCCAACTGGTGTATATCAAAAGATCTCAGTACAAATAGCAGGACCAAAATACTGCATTATCAGTCAGCCAGCCAGCTAAACACTTAATGACTCCCACATTCTCATGGACTTGTAAAGTAAGTTTTGCCTTCTTTCTTTCAGTGTTTAACACACCATTTTTGGTTTAACACATTTAAAGGAGTAAAACTACATTTACTAGTCTTGCATGAGGTGAAAGAAGCGTTACGTTTTTTTCATATTCTAGAAAATGAAAAATAGCAATAGCATATTTATCCACGATGATGCTGTATCATACTATGACAAGAAGAAATAGATCTTTTATCTTAAGACTTTAGTTATGAAGTGGTGGGCTTTTTGATATCATTTGGTTACAGCTGAATAAATTATATATAAGTTTTATCACCACATAATTTGTTTACTTTTATTTATTTTGTGTCTCCGCCTACAAGAAAGTCAGCTCCCAAGAGGGTCTTTGTTTTGTTCAAGTCTATATCCTTAATACTAAGCCACATAATGGCTTTTAATATTTGTTCATTAAAGGATTAAATTAATGAATACAGACAGTCCCCTGGTTAAGAATGAGATCCTAAGTGTATCTCTAACTGGAGTTTGTAAGTGGAGTTTGTAGGTAAGTTGAAACAGGTGCATATGTTCTTATTTAGCCTTACTTTAGTGCAAGAAAAGACTGGAAGGCTTTTCTGTGATTTAAAAGCTACATATGCAGCAAATGAAGGTGTTTGTGATGAAGGATTTATTGCAGGAGGGGTTGGTTCAATTATTTCAAAATGTACAAATTGACATAACATTAAAGAGCAAGTACTAGTTGTCCGTAGTACTCACTGTAATATAATTTATTCATACTTAGGTTTAATATTTTCCTAACATTAAATTTTTTACAATTAATTTGTATAGTGCCTTTCTTCCAAAGAGCTGAGGAAGAAAGTGTTCATGTACATTTTTGTTTATTCTCAAGCTAATGAACAAATAATAAATAATAAAGATAAGAAAGTACGGATATGGCAATATAACATGTTAGAAATGACCATTTTAGGCAAAGAAATATTTAAAAATTGGCATAGGAAAACAGAATGATAAAAAGCAAAAAGTAGAGAATCTGGCTCCCAATCAATGCTATTCCTAATAGGGCAGTATTTTTAGAATTTGAAATTTTGGGGAACCTTCCTGTGTGTGTATGGGTTTAACTTTTTATTGAAGTATAACCTAAAAACAGAAAAGACCACAGATCCTAAGAGGACAGCTTGATGAACTTTTGCAAAGTAATTAGCACCCAATTCTAGAGGCAAAATTATCTCTATTCTTCTCTACCCCCAAGAGTAACCACTACCTTGCTTTCTAACATTATAGACTAATTTGCCAGTTTTTGAACTTTACATGAATGGAATTATAGAATATGTATTCTTTTGAGTCTGCTTTTTTCATTCAGGGTGATATTTATGAGATTCATCTATATCATTATGTGTAGTTACAGTTTGTTCATTCTCATGGCTGAATAGTATCACAGTGTGTCTACTCTGTTATGGCCATTTGGATAATTTCCACTTTGAGCTATTATAAATAGTATGACTGTTATCTGTATTGGTTTTTTTTATGTTTGTGAACCTCAGGAAATTTGCCTGCTCTTGTATTTTATCTAACGAGAAGCATTAGAATGTTTGTATGTTTTTTTTGGGTGAAATATAATTATTAGTTAAGAGAGCTCTTTTCTATAATACCATAAAATTTGTCATGAGAACGTGGTCAAAAATTTTAGAAACTACTAGAGAATATGAGTATTAAACATGAATTAGTGACTGAAAATTACATACTTTTGTACTGTGGAGATCAATTGAATCAGCTCTGAGTAGTGGCAGAAATTTTGTCAGAGTGAAGTTAGGCCAATGGTTGCCTTGCTGTTAGATTGGTTCATAATAGGAGCAAAAGAAATCCAAACTCTTCTTCATTCTGTAAAATAATCTGGCATTTTTCCACTCTTTCTTAAAATAAGTTAACTTTCAGTTTTGTATTTGTCTAGGAAGCACCATGACCTGTGCTGCTGTCATGATGCCTGGGTTGTTGCAAGGCTCTATTGGCACCATCTGCACTCGGGCTGCTTCATTGAGATTGACACCTAGGTCTTTGCGTCACCTTACTCTAACCAGGTGAGTCATCAGTTTCAGTGTCATTTTGTTATTTGAAGTTTTCAAAGGGGTTTGACCTGTTGATGGTTTTGGGAGATATATCAAGCTCCTGTAGTAGTTATGTCTTGGCTTAAATGTACTTGATATCAGTGGATCATTAAACAGTAGATGTGCACATTTTACAATGACCATTTTCTAGACTCCATAACGTCATACTGTATTTTGGACAATCATGATATTACATTGTTGTTGTTGTTGTTATGTGCCGTGAATCAGACCCAACTCATAGTGACCCCTCCTTTCATTTCTGAGGCAGTATCACTTCAGAAGTAGATTGCCCAACCTTCCTTCCACGGAATGGCTGGTGGGTTTGAACCACCAGCCTTCTAGTTAGCAGTCAAGTGCCTTAGGCACTATGCTATCAGAGCTCCATGATATTACAGGGGACACTAGTTTCACTATTTTTATGAGGATAATATTTTATAACCTAATTTTACTTTTTGTTAAAGAGTAATGAATTCCAAAAGGAACACTGATCACATGGAGAGAACTGCAGACGTCGTTCGCCAGGAGGTTTGTATCTTTTGGCTATAGCAGGTTCCTCCAGCCTAGACACATTATGGCTGGCTTGTGGATGTGGTGTTAGATGAGTGTGGTCTCTGAAGGACAGTCAGGAAAGGCTTGTCATTTTTCTGAACAAGACATATGTTACGATAACTGATTTGAAAAGATGTCAGGGAAGTACTCAAATTTTTCCCTTTAAACTTGGAATTAATTTATTTGTGTTTATTTTACCAGTTGAACACTTTTTACATGTATAATTCAGTGACACTGGTTATGTTAATCATATTGTATGTTCATCGCCACTAGTCAATGGATTAATCTTTGATGAAAAGAGTGTAGTAGCAACAAGGGAACCATCCTCACAGAATGATATTTAGGATTACATTGTATGTAGGGATAAACCAAACCAAACTCACTGCCATTGAGTCAATTCCAACTCAAAGCAACTCCCATTGGGTTTCCGAGGCTATAAATTTTATGAAAGCAGAGTGCCTCATCTTTCTTCCACTGAGCAGCTGATGGGTTCAAACCATCAGCCTTTTGGGTAGTAGCCAAATGCTTTAACCACTACACCACCAGAGCTCCTGATACATAAAACGCAATGCACTGCCATGGAGTTGGATCTGACTCATAGTGATCCCTCTTTGGGTTTCTGAAGCAGTATCACTGTGAAGTAGATTGCCCTGATTTCCTTCTGAGGAGTGGTTGGTGGGTTTGAACCACCAGCCTTCTAGTTAGTAGTCAAATGCCTTAAGTACTATGCCATCAGAGCTCCTCCTGATACATAGGAATGGAATTTTTTTGGGGGGGGCAGTATGTCTCAGTCTTTGTTCTTATCCCTTCTTTAGAGCAATTTCCTATTTCATCAAGGGAAAAAGCACTGACATCTAAGAGAGGAAGGTGGATGAGCTCTTGTTACCCTTGTCAAGTACAGATTTTTCCCACCATATTTACACAGCTAATCTACCACCTGAAGGAGTATCAAGGGCTAAGAAATAAAGGAGCCTTAAACCTTTTATCTCAGTGAGGAAATTCCTTTTTTAAAAAAAAACATAAATATTTAATTTTTGCTTTTTTGAGTGTTCTCACATATTGGGATACATTTAGTGTTTAAGTTTATCTAAATTAACAATGAAAAAAAAGCAATATATTTTATATAAAGAAAGATTGTGATTATCTACAAACATCACCAGCAGGTTAAGTCCTGCTTTTCAAGCTAATTCTGCTTTCAGAAAATTGTGTTGGGACAGAGGGTTCTGTGTTGATTCAGCATTAAGTCAGTGTTTTTTTGAGAAGTCTGCAAAATTTGTTCAGCACAGTAGATTTAAGGGACCCTAGGAAAATACACTTTTCCCATTGATGAGAAATCTAAAAATACTATGTTTGTTCAACACAAAAATGCTAATTCTATAAATGTGAGATTTATTAGGATTTCTTTTGAAAAAGTAAAAACCTGGCCAGTTGTTAAGAAAAAGTAGTACATTTAACAGGCTTGGATGACACTATTTCCTGTTTTATTTTGAGACAGATTGAATCAGAATAGCGGATGGCAGACTTTCTATTAATGGCCAGATAGTAAACATTTTAGGCTCTGCTGGCCATGTGGTCTTAGTTGGTACTACCAGACTCTGCCTTTGTACTGTGAAAGCAGCCATAGACAATATATAAACAAATCAGTGTAACTATGTTCCAATAAAAGTTTATTTTCCAAATCACTCAAATTTGGCATGTGGGTTGTATTTGCCAATCCACGAATTAGAGTAGTCAACTCAGAATTTTATAGGACAAAATTATTGGCACTTCTAGGGAATTATTTTGAACCAAGTTTAATTGAAAACTAAAACGAAAGTTAATGTAAACTCTAATAGTTGAGAATTTTAGTGCCCAGAAGTCAGAAAATTGCAGGATTAGAATTCCAGTCATGATATTACATTGGAGGAAGAACTTTCCAATTGTAACACTTTTACTTCTCTTTCTAACTTCCACTTATCTCTTAAAAGAATAAAAGTGGAGAGGAGATGGTAGCAACTGGAGAAAGCTAGATATGTCTGGACCCACCACTCAGTGGTGTAAGGTCACCCAGGGGCTCATGTCAACCCCTGCAGAGGGCGGCTCCTAAACATAGAGCAGGGGCCCTGGCCTTGAACTGAACAACATCTCAGGTTTGCCATTACTGAACTATACCAGCTTCTTTTTGAAAAAAATTTATTGTGATTTGGGTCGAAGGTTACAGAGCAGATTCATTTTCCACATAATTGCTCATAAACATTTTGTTTCATGACATTTCAATTCCCCACAGTGTAATAGCTCTCTTCCCACTTTTTCCCTGTAGTTACCTCTTCCCTATGTCCTTCTTTCCTATGTATTCCTTTCCCCTGAGCCATCTCCCTGTGCAAATATTGTACTTCTGTTCTCTCATCGGTCTAAGGAGTATATCTACCTAGTATAAATATTCACCCCATATGCCTATCTATTGTTTGGCTGGAAGCCACGAGAGTGAGTTCAATTCCAGACCTGAAGGATAACTAGAAGCCATAGTCTCAGAGGTCTCACCTGGCTCTATCAGACCAGTAAACCTGGTCTTTTTTATGATTTTAAGTTTTGTTGGACATTGTTCTCCCACTTTATCCAGGATCTCCTACACTGATCTCTTCCTGAGTGGTTGACAGTGGTAGCTGAGTACTATCTAGTTCTTCTGGTCTCAGGTCATATAGGCTAAGATTCTCATGGTCCACTAGTTCCTTGGACTAATTGTTTCCATGCATCTTTGGTTGTCTTCATTCTTCTTTGCTCTGGATGAGGAGAGACCCATTGTTGGATCTAATTGGCCACTTGCAAGCTTTTAAGACCCCAGTAGTTACTCACCAAAGTAGGATGTAGAACAATATTTTTGTGTAGTATGTTATGCCAGTTGAGCTTGATGTCTCCTGTGACCACGGTCCCCAGCTCAGAGATCCGACTAGTCGCTCCCTCAGGGTGGCTGTGACTAAGAAGTTATCATAACTTTGCCCCTTTTTAGTTCTATTATATATATGGACATTATTACAAGAACTATACCAGCTTCTGATAGTTTGGCACGTTGTGTTGTTGTTATGTCCTGTCGAGTTGGATTCAACTCACAGCAACCGCTCCTTGGGTTTCTGAGGCGGTATCACTATGGAAGCAGATTGCTTAACCTTCCTTCTGAAGAATAGCTGGTGTGTTTGAACCACCAGCCTTCTGGTTAGCAGTCAAGTGCCTTAGCCACTACACTACCAGAGCTCCTTGCCTTTAATTTGTATATTGTTTTTTAAAGAATAATTTATTTTATTTTTGTTGTCCTTGAGAATATACACAGCAGAACATGCACCAGTTCAACAGTGTCTACGTGTACTATTCAGTGACATTGATTACCCTTTTTGAATTTTACAACCATTTTCACCTTCCTTTTCTGAGTTGTCCCCCGCCCCCATTAACATAAATTTACTGCCCTATAAGCTTCCTGTCTCATATTTTGAGTTGCTGTTTTCAGTTTAATCCCATATAGATAGAGTTTAAAAGCACATAATGTTAAGGGTAATCACTCTTTACTAGTTAAGCTAAACTATTGTTTGATTTTAAGAAGCCGCCAGGGAATATTTGTGGTTTAAGGTTTAAAAATTATCTCAGGGCCATAGTTTCAGGGATTCATCCAGCCTCCATGGCTATAGAAAATCTGGATTTCATGAGAATTTGAAATTCTGTTCCATAGAAAGTATTCTTTACAAAACCCTCACATCTTTGCTCTTCAGTTCAAGTCTGTAAAGTAGTTTAAAAGTAGAATACTATCTGCATTTTGTAAAAGAGAACTCAGATCTGAACGATGTCCTGTGGCCTCTGCTAGAACCAGGGGGAAATCCCCACTCAGATGTCTGATTCCTAGACCAGAGAACCCTTCTATCCCTCCTGGAGTGGGTGGACAATGGCATGCTAACCCACCCATAGATGTCCTTTCAGCTTTGGGCATTGTGTTTCATTATTGAATGACCATTTTATGATATGAATGCTTCTTCCTTAGGGCTATAAATATAACCAGCCTGAGGTCATGCTGATGCAGGAAACTGACCACCCCAGTGAATGACATTTGACTGTGTTCAAGTTTACATTTTTTTTTCTTAAGGCCCAAAGAATAGGCAGTCTGGGTAGCCTTAGAAATGTCAGGGAGATAAGGATAGACGTAATGCAGTAAGGATTGTTCAGGCAAGACTAATATTTTACTGTAGGGGTTACTCCATGCTTTTCCCTCTGTGGAGGTCTGGCTTTCTAAGCAAGGTATATTCTACTCATCTCTTTGGTGAGAGGGTTTGTAATGAAAGAATTTTTTAAATGACTAATTTTTATGCATTCATTTATTGAGTTGGAAATAAGCCGGGCACTGGGCTAGGTCCCGAAATTCAGCATTGGAAGTAATTGATGAAGTCTCTGCCTCAGATTCTAGTGGAACTCTGATCACAAGAAACTGATTTTATGCCCATACTTGGTTTTGGAAAAGGGCTAATTCTTTTTCAGTTGTATTAGTATACCGCTTTTAGAAGCCTATGCCTTATCCTACAAATGCCTTTCTATTTACAGAGTACTCAATTATATAATAGGTTGTTACTGATTCTCGCAACCACCTAGGGAGGGAGGTGAAGGGGTCCTTATCCCCATTTCAAAGATAGGACATTAAGACTCAGATTTAGATAGGATGACCCTGCTTCCTGATTTGCCTAGTATAGTCCTGGTTTTTGCCTCTTCCTGGTATAATATTTAATGGCACCCCCTTTTACTCTCAGAATTCTGTTTTGGATGATGTATTGTCAACCTAGGCTTAAAGGATGTGTTCAAGTGAATACATAACTCAGCCCTTAAACTCAGATCTTTAACTTTCAAATTTTATTTTCACTACAACAAAAAATGGAGCAATTCAAACAGACAAGGCTTAACTGAGTAATACAATGTAAGATAAATTTCACAAATTTTCCTTTCTGTTCCAAATCGAAACTTCATTC